CTTGCACCTGTCACCATTTACTTTACGGGAAGTATTCGACCGGCGGATATTGAATTCACGATCTCTTGGACTTGAGCCCAACGCCCTACCAACCAGGCTGTCCCGGCCTCTAATTCATTTTTATAATTCTAAATATTTTTTTTATGAAAATCCAAACGTTACTTTTCTTTTAATTAATTATATACTTTTTATCTTTTCATTTCTTTGAGCTAGAGTAGTTTTAAAATGACCATATTTGACTATTAGGAACAGTTTCAAGTCATTATCATGATTTTTATTACTTTTATCGTGAGCACAAGACGTCATATTATATTTTTTCTTCAAATTTTTTCTCTAAATAAATTATAATATTAGTTAAAATACATTGTAAAAGTTTTTTTTGCATTTTTTAAGAAAAGTTTTCGCATTTAAATAATGTCTGTCCTTATGTTAAACAACTGTAAAAACTTAAGTTCTCTAATTTAAAATTTAGATAAGTTACAGAAAGTCGGAAAAAGTAGTACAAAGTAGTACTCCATGAAATCAAAACTACCTACACTGTAAAAAATTCCGGATCAAATTACTGTAAAAAGCATTGGTGCTCAGGGTGCCGGTACTTTTAACCGTAAAATCTATTTTTATTAGAACATGTAGCGGAACAAAAAATCTGATATACCGTAATTTTTACGGTAATAATGAAAGTTAAATCTCTGAATCAATCTACTCAAATAAATATTAATGTAAAATTATGGTATAATATTTTACGATTAAAATAGATTTTACGGAATATGTATCCAAAGAGCCGGCACTTTATTCCGTAGTTTTTTGCAGTGTAGGCTCCCTTAAAATATTAATGATTCAGACACTAGCCTGTTATATTAATGGTTCAAAAATATGAAGAAGACAGGTAAGCAGGAAAGCAGCTAAAAATATGAAGAAAACAGGGAAAATAATAAAGATAAATGAAAAGAAAATAAGAAAACTTATTAAAATAAAATATTTTTAAAAATATTTAAAAAAAATTACTAAAAAACCGGAAAACAAAATAATGAAAAGATATCATTTTTGTCATCAGCCCACACGATTACAAACGCAAAAGGGAGTGTTTTCTAATATTGTATTAATATAGCCAAAGTAAAATATATCAATACAATAGTGTGAGGAGCACTCGAAAAAATTTAAGCTAAAATAGAATACATTTAGTTAAAAATATACGAAATAAAACATATCAAGCAAAAAATAGAAAATAAAGTGTCAGAAAAATACAGAACACAACACAACGCAATCTATAAAGCGAGTAGCGAACACAAATTAACTCACGAGTACAGGAATCTTTCAAGAATGATTTAAAATATTTCCGTAATAAAATTGCCAGACTACAAAAACAGAAGCGCAAATAGAGGTTAGAAGCGGAAATAGAGTTATCTTTTATGACGCGTTCTTACTGCAGTATTGAAGCGCGTTTGATTTGTTGGCCATCCCGGATTGGGCCAGAAATGGATGTGTACCAGGTAATAATATTATATTGGATAATTTAAAGGTTGATATTTAATTATACAATTTTAAAATAAAACTTATTAATTTTCTTAATCTTCTTCGTCTCTTTTCTTTTTATCCTTTTTGTCTTTATTGTGCTATATATATANATATCCATATATATATATATATATATATATATATATACAAATTTTTCAATATCTAATTCTTTTTATCTCAACTGTTGCAAGCATTTCATGAATATATGCAGAGGGTATTACTTCCAAAAACTTCGTTGAAAAAAAATTTTTCTGTCAATAATTTGTTTGTCACATCTGTCATTTTTTGGCCACTTATTTTTTAGTAATTTATGACCAAAATGGATAGCGCCAGCAATCAATATCTTAGGTTAAGAGATTGATTAGAATACCATCCTATAAGAACATGTCTTATTTAAGGAATAAAGAACCAACTTTCTGGTTCAAAAACTATTTCAAAAAATTTTACAAGGAGAGTAGGTTTTCATGTTGTCATTTTCCTGTCTTCTTGAAATCATTAATAGCATGGACTACATAGATTTACCAGGATTATTTCAAGAAATCCTGTAGTTTTCTGTAGAAAATAAATGTCTTAGGCCGAAATTTTAAATTAAAGTAAAGTTAAATGCTGCAAAATAGCTAATTGTCATTCTCCTGGCTGTCGTTATCCTGGCTTATGAATGCCAGTTATTAGAAGTTTCCTTTAAACAATATAATGTAAAGAGGGAAAGCAAATATTAACCTAATACTCAGTTTATGTAAGATTGTAATATGCTTATATGTAATCAAAATTATTTATTTGTTTAATGATTGATTATTATACACAATTTTATTCCGTACATATCAACAACAAAAGCATTTTTGATTCTTTCTACGGCGGAGAAAAGAATTAATTTAAGTAATTCATGGTCCATCCAACGCAAAGGCCTTAAGCTATTTTTTTTCTTCAAAAAACAGATTTTTAAAAAATAAAGGATAAGCTAAGAACATCACTGTACAATTTAATTCTGTCATAGTCTTCAAACTCTACGTGAGTGTATAAATTAAAGTATGTAATAAAGTAATAAAGTGGTAAAAGTGATAAAATAAAGTGATTTGCAAGATTTTTAATTTAAATAATATAATTAAAAAAATTCTGAAGTAAATTATTGTAAAATTAATTTTACTAGATTATTTTAAAACATGGGGTCTAAAAGCAATCAAGGAAAAATAAACTGAGGGAAAAAAAACCGAGAAGCAGAGAAGAAACGGTATGTTCAAATTGTTCGCAATAACTATTTTTGGAATTTATTTACATAAAAAGCTAAAATTAACTGTTCAACTTTGTCTTTTTGAGTTTCTTAAGTTGAGTTACTTACTATTAGCTTAAAATGACTGTTTTCTTAACTTCTAAGCTAATATTTCATTTTCCTGGCCTTCTAGTCATTTTCCTGGCATTCAAAATTTGGCGAACTTCTATTTTATTTTTTTTCTTGAGGAAATGTCAATAAACTACACTGCTGTCTGTAAGATATTAATAAATGTAACTAAAGAAAGTTAGATTCTTTTAAAGACTAAATTTGAAGAAATTTTTTTCATGAATTGTCATGTTTCCGAAGACTCACCCATATGCTGGAAAAATCAGTAAGAAATATAAAAGTTTTATTAAACCTTTTATTCTGCAGAATTCTATTGATTTGCGAGCATTTGCTGATGACATTTATATAGGACTGAACAAAGCGATGGATGTTTTTGCGTCCCTGGAAACTTCTTCCTAGCAAACTGGATCTATGACAAACTGGATTTTTGTCTGTTCCAAGTAGAACTTTCAATATTTTCCCACTAAATATGCATAATCACACATTAAAAAGCTTTAAAATGTTAAAATATCTCCAAACAATTGTTTTCTGCAATGATTTAAAACAAAAAATAAGTTTGAAATAAAAATCATTTTTAAAACGGAAGCTCCTGGAATAATAGGAATCAATTATAATCAAAAGACAAAAGTTTTCCTGGCTTGATTCAATGTTCTCGTAAGTTCTTCTGTTGAATCAAAAGCTGTTTAGCTAATGAAGCTGAAAAAGAAATTTTTTCAAGAAAACAAAAGTCAAAAAAGTTTTTTTTTAGGGGGGGGGGGTTAATTTACCTTTTTATGACGGATTCCAAGTTTTGACTGGATAGGAGGTGGTGGGTAGCAACTATCTGAAAAATATTTTCCCAATAGTTTAGGCGGGAGAAAGTTGAAAGTTTGGGCTTGTTAATAACATTATTTTGCGTCTAATTTCGTAATTTAAACTATTGTCTGCAGTAATAATTTAGCATATTTAAGGTTGGATCCTCGGCCTTGAACCATTAAGATTGACTCTTACTAAGTCCTAATCCGGTTATTAGATCAAAAATCAGTCAAAGTGCTCGTTTTTTTTTGCCCTGTACACTTTCAAGACCGTAAAAACGTTTCATTAAGTAGAAACGTTAAGACCGTGCTTTATTTTGTATTAATGATATGTCATTTTTTAAAAGAATATTTTTTAAAACTAACGCAATATTAAACAAAAGATCAAATTTTCCCACAGTATCTCTTTCAAACAATTTATTAATTAATATAATTGAGGGAATATAAAAAAATGTTTGCTCTGTATTAAGGAAGAACACCAAAAGCAAGATTTTTAGATAAATTGATGACACAACAGCAAGCAAAAATTTCGATGACTTTGAGAGAATTAAATATTTTAAACGGCAACGGTCTCGCCGTATTCAACTATACAGAGGAGCTGTAAGTGCAGTATATATATATATATATATATACATATACATATATTATTAATAATTTTAATTATT